ACCCATAAGCGTTAATGGAAGGCCATAATCGATTATGTAACCAACCATAATCGATTATGGTCCTTCATATATATTAAATGACATCAAAACTAATCTTCAATGTAGGAGCTCTTCCGCAATCACTCACGACCAGCCACCACCAGCCACCACCAGCGACGCACCAGCCACGTAACAGCCCGTGAAGAACTTGAACAACACCAACCGAAATTACTCAACGGAAATTCTGTGAAGACATACCACCAAAGAGAGCTTCCTCTTATATTATTATTCAAACGCAACGACAAAGCTCCTTCAATAATTCAGTCAACAATGGCAGAGATTCCTGCCAGTATGCATGCATGAGACAAGGACAGTCCGTGAAATGCCAGAGATTCTCTACTGCATGGCACATGCATGGGAGGGGTATTTTCGGATTTTCACAAATCCTACGTGTCTTTCACCTCCTTTCTTCCCTTTTGTGCGAGGAGAGCAACAGTGCTTCCCCTCGCTTTTCTTCGCCTTTCCTTCGTTCCAAATCAGCAGAAACAAATGGTATCTTTCCACGCCTTTCTTTGCTTGTGAACAGTACTCTCCCGGAAACAAACACTACCTTAAACTTAAGCGAGTAAGAAAATTAGCACACACATTATTTTCATGCATAATATGTTTAAGTTGAACATTCTGGTTCTAAGATAATAATTCTTAAAATAAATTAAATTCATGTTTAATATAAAATTATTAAATAATATAATAATTAATAAAAATTATATCAATATCATTTAAACCTCTTTCAATACTAAATTTGGTGTAGCAAACTTTGTAACCAAGCCTAATTTAATAAAACTTAACAGCGTAGTGAGTGTAAAAGTAAAATATTTACTTTGATCTCCAACAATACATATCATTACTTTGATTAAATATTTACTGTTGAACATCAAAATACTCACTTTTATAAATCACTAAAATTAACTTAATGTTGAAAGTTAGAGTAATATACACGTGATAGTCTATTTTGGAAAACTTGTCGCTCTCTAAAATTTTCGAACCTAAGTCTACTCAAAAATGGATTCAGCCAGCATTTAACAAAGGTCAAATGCAATTAATATTCAACATATACTTCTAAGTCTATTTTGGTCGTATCAGGTTGCTAGAAATTAGATTCGCTAGGCCCGAACCCTCTTTGCTTTGCAGATATTTCCTGTTAGCAATGGATGATCCTCGAAGTCTTGCATGCTTGGTGAATAATATAGATGGTCGTTATGCCTGAGGAATTTTAAAAATTCTGAAGTTTGATAATTTGCATTTCAACCACACGATGCTGTTCGTCAAACCAAAATCTATGTCGAACAGTTTGTTCACATGATTCGATGTCTTAAAAAGCACAGTACAAGTGGATGAGTAATAAGTACGTACAGACTCACTTTGTGGCTCTCATTTTATTCTTCGACTTTCAACACGTCTCATTCTAATTTTTTTTTTTTTTAATTTATTTCATTTACATGAAGATAAGTAGAGTGCAATCAAAAGGAAAACATCGACCTGCATACTCTAGTATATACTTGGAGAAACAGAAGAAATATTTATAGAGGATAAAAAAAAAATAGTTCTAACGGAGTGTTATTTAAATTTAAAAGTTAGAACTCATTGTTAAATAATATCAGTTACTTGAAAATTTGTGTTAGTTAAGTTGTTAGTATTACTTATTAGTAGTTAATCACTCTCTAAAAGGTTTTATATATAGATAGCTCTCAAACTCCTCTTTTGTATCTTTTTTTAGATCAATTACAAAATAATTTTTTATGGGACTCCATTTCTTTATTTTAAGTTTTATGATGTATGATCATAAATTCATCATATGTTAGCTAGGAAGTTTAATTTCACAGACCTCTTCATCTCATACATTTCTGATATCATTTGAAAAACAATGACAATTTGTATAATTACAAAGAAACACGTTATAAATTTATATTATTCTGTATTTTTTGATCACATTATATCAGCTATTATATTTATATTTTTCACGCTTTTATGTTTTTTTTCTCTCCCTCTAGTGTCCTCCTATTCTTTTTTCCTTTAAACGAGCACGATGAAAGACGAACCTAACTAACATTATAGTATCAACAACTATATCATGGAATATAGCAGAAAAAGCTACATCCCTAGTCCCTCCCTAGACGTTTGTCACTGCTCGCAAACTATAAAATGTAAAAATGTGATAGAAATTTTAGCTGCTGCATGCATGTGGACGCTAATGACTGCAAAGAGTAGGTTACATATAATTGCATTAATTTCACAACCTAGTTGCTTAGATTTCAAACCACACCTCAAATCAAAACTATTGTAAAACAGCCAAGTGATTACATACAAAGGGAGTCACTCCTAGCTAGGGTGGTAGTGAGACATGCATTTACCATATAACATGATTAAATCATTAGATACGTAGACATAATAAACTTATAAACCATGTTTCCCATTTAAGCATTGAAACTCTGGAAGGGGAGTGCCAACTGATCAAGAAGGCCAGTGACTGGGGTGGCGAGTCTAGGTTCATATGCAAAGCCATGCAACTCATAGCCATCATGTGCAGTGTAAGGACAGGGTGGAATCCAGTGCCACCTCTTCCTGCATATATCAAACAACAAAGCCTTGTCCGTTCCACGAATCACGATCACAATAAACTCCCCATGCCCTACACATTCAAATCCGTTCCCATCTTCCAATTCAGCAAACTGAATATAAAGCTGCTGCGGCATTCTCTCCGACTCCACCCACATGGTCCCACACGCCTGCAAACTCCACACCCTCAAACTCTTGGGCACGTTCAGCTTGCTCTTCTCAACCGCCGCAACAAGGAGCAGCTTCCCCTTGCACTCCACAAGGTTCGGTGACCTAAGGAACCTCCTCATCGGGGCTTGTATTTTGAACCAAGTGTTTGATGTGATGTCATAGGCCAACACGCTGAAAGGGCTACAATTCATGCAGTACAATTTCCCTTCAGCGTACACCATTCGACCAGATTCAAGGCTGCAAAGCCTTGGCAGAGAGGAAGTGGTGCCCCACAAGGAGTAAAACCCTCCTCCATCGATGTGAAAGCTTTCAGAAGTCAAATTCTTCACTGCATAGGGAGATATCATGTCATCACCGGCAACAGTGACATCTATGCAGGTGGGGCTGATGGTTAAGCCGATGGAAGGGAAGAGCCTAGGTCTCAACGTGGGGGGTAACTGAGTTAGAGAACCAAGTAAAGGGTTGCATAGAAGCATGGTTTTTGGTCCAGCCTCATCAGAAACCCAGCAGAGTAAGCCAGCTGAAGAAGATGCTGGGGAGAAGCCAGAAGGGACCAAAGCAAAGGAAATGCGGTACCATGTCAAGTCATTGGGATCAAAGAGGTATCCTTCTTCGCATGATGAGGCTGCACCGTGTCCACAACCACTTCCATTGTTGTTGTTCTTGTAGATGTAGCTCTTGCGGGTCTTGTGGTGCTTGAAGAACATGAACCAGTGGCGGCGAGGGGAGACTTGGAGGTACAATTCAAGGAAGGTGTTGGAGAAAAGAAGAGCATACCATCTCTTGCAAACACAACGAGCACGAAAGAAAGCTGGTGGGGGAAGGAAGGCTATGACACGATCAAGAAGCCTTTGAGGGAGCTTGCTCCATATTCTGCTGTTCATCCATGGAGTAGAAGTGCAGCTATAAGTGCCTGTGACTGTGGTAATGTTGCTACTGCCAGCACCACTGATAGGGAATGTGTATGAAAAAGGAGAGGTCAAAGAAGGGTGAAAACCTTCCATATATATAAGGTTAAGGTTATCTGTGTTTGCTTAGTTTAAGTGGAAACTAGGCACAAAGTGAGAAATGGAGGAAATGGGAAATGTTGAGGACTGAGGAGTGTATGATATGATACTAGCTAGGCTTGCCTTTAATGTTAAGGGAGAGGTTATGCATGGTTTCTTCTTTTGTTGCGAAAGATAGTGGGAGAAATGGTTGTGAAAACGTTTTTAGGGAAGCACCTAAGAGGGGAAAGCAGTGTAGCTTTTACAAGGGAAAACGAAAAAGGTGGATTTTGGTATTTGGAAGGATAATTGTGATTGTTGTGTTTGCTGACTCCTAGCTATAGCAACCACCTGGGATGGTTTTTTCTGTTCCTCATTTTCAGTGGGGTGTTGGAGAATGGGGAGAAGCGAAGACGGTTTTGGAAGTGAAGAAGGGTGATGCAACACCACTAGAAATGGAACAAAGGACGTGAGATATAGAAGTTGGTGGTGCTTCTCTCATGTGAGGAAATTATTGGGTCTTGTGTTGTGGCATTGGTTGGGGGTGGGGACAAGTTTATATATAAGATCGAGATGGCTTTGGCCTTATTGAATTCTTAATTTGTTAATTAATTAATTCATGTATTTTTTTAAAGATATTTTCTTACCGAATTAGAGTGTCTTCTATGGTAAAATCTATTTTTTACCTAATCCCGGTTAAGTATAACAACCAGTAATTTGTGTTTTTTTAAGTAATTTGTTTAAATTTTGAATTATAATTTTATATATAAAATATATTATATTAAGAAGGAATTATAAGATTAGTATGGTAGTTTAGAGAAGTGATATAGAAGATGTGAGTTTCAATCCCTTCATTAAAATAACAAATAACAAATAATATTTGTCATTAATATATAT